TGCCCGCTAACAATGCCCTGCGGTTGTTATGGATATTATTATATGTTTCATCTCTAAGGTATTATGAGCCAATAATGTATAGGTGAAACATAAAGTTCAATAATGGTGTTAACGCTTAGTTGTGTCCGTTCGTTAAGATTGACGTCATTTTGTAATTTTTGTTTGATGATATTTAAAGTTTAATCAACTGGAACGTTAGCGAATAGACTAACAATATCAAAACTTACTAGAATATGGTTTGGATTTATGAAAAAATGTTCAAAATTTTTAATATGGGAAGTAGTGTTATTTATTAGGGGATTTAAAATGTTTAAAAGATATTTGGCTAAGGGATGTGTAGGTGAATCTATACTGCTAACTATTGGTGGTAAAGGAATATTAACTTTATGAATTTTTGAAACCCCGTAAAAATGTGATGTTTTACTATTTTGTAGGGTTAATTTTGATCTAACGTAATCTGTAAATTTATGTTTAAATTTGTCGCTCTTAGCTAGTCGTACTGAACTGACGTGTGAGTGAGAGCAGTGAATTCTTTATCATATTTTTTACTACTAAAGCCTCTCATCACACATACCAATTAAAGCAAGAAAGAGCATATCGTATAGTTATCTGGAATTTACATCCGACAACATCTATTGAAGAGCTAAAAAATAACATTGATCAACACGGACATATTGTCAAAAATGTTATTAATGCAATAAACAAAACCACAAAGAAAGGAATGCCTCTGTTCTTTGTAGACTTGGAACCGAGGGGAAACACTCAAGAGATATACAAAATAACAAATGTAGTAAGAGCCTCCGTTACTATAAAGCCACCAAGGAAAACTAATAAAATAATACAATGCACTCGATGCCAGCGATACCGTCACACAAAAGGATTCACAGATGTGTCAAGTGCTCAGATCACGATACCACCAACTGCTCCAAAAGCAGGGAACTTGCGTATTATGCAGTGGCCATCACCCAGCCAATTACAAGGGTTGCACAGTATACAAAAAAATACGAAAACCCAGGAACCAAAATAGAAATATGGAAAATCAGCCAACTCAAACGAGAAGCCCCATAAGCAACACCGCAAAAAATAACCTATCTCAGACAGACATTGAAATAATCAACAATCCAGCACCAACAAACCCAAGGACTCGAACATCCTACTCGCAAGTACTACAAGGAATTACTTCAGAAAATGCCACAAATGCATGTGCTTGCCCGGTCAATCTGACCTCCGCGTTTTAAATCGCTCACCGTGATCATTACCTCCTCAAGTTCAGTCACTAGCAACCCCCTTAATAATCATTTCACTTTTCAGGATTACCGCCTTCCTCAGTTCCCTATTCCCACTTTCCCACTTGTTACCAGTTATGACAAGTACTGTTTAAGTGTACTATTAGTAAACCCGGTCAGTGGGATATACGAGCCGCAGGTGACTTATCACCCCTTTCCTTTCCCGTAAGTCTAGATTGCCTGTGGACGGCTAGTACCAAAAAATTACACAAATTACTGCGGTATTACAAAATTAACTGGTCGACGAGAAGGTATTTGATTCCCCTGTTTGAGTAGCCATTCACAGCCTTATAATTTTGTTGAATTTTATTTTGCTTGGAAATATTTTGGCGGAATTAATCGGCAAAAAGGCCAAGACCTACCACCACTGGTGGGGATTCGGACCACGTTAGACAACAAGCCATCCGTGGACTCTAAGGGCCGTTTGCACCATTTTATATTAAAGCCAAGCTTACATAAACCAACCTTAAAAATTAAGCTCGGCTTTAAAGTAACCGGCTTGCACCGTACCAATCTGTTGTTGGCTTTGTTAAGCCTGTGCCAAGCCT